CGGAAAGGACTCGCCTGAGGGAACTGTTAGTGAGGCTGCCCAGGCTAGACGAGGGTGGCGCCAGCGGCTTCAGCTCCATGTCTGCACGAGCAGCCGGACCCCCTGTGGGCTCTTGAGAAGAAGACTAACCTGATAAAATGAGAGTTGAAGAGCTCTAGCCTAACAGGAGTTTGAAGTATGAAAGATAAGCCTCAGTTTCTGACCTGAGGAATGCTAAGAACCATGGTGGAATCATCGCATGGAGCCAAAGCCTGAAGGCTTGGGTTGAGTCCTGGCTCCTCCACTTACTAGATGTGAGCCCTTGGGCAAGTCACTTAACCGCTCTGTGTCACCTTTCCTCATCTGTATAATGGGGACAATAAAATATCACCTCATAGTTTTGTTAGGAGGATGAAATGAGGTAATATATATAAAGCGCTTGGAATAGATCCTGACACCTAGGAAGCGCTCTATTAGTGTTAGCTTCCAAAAATGGGGAAGGAGAAGCTTGGTTTTAGACCAAAAGGAAATCTAAGTGGAAACACCTGTGTTCATCTGAAAACACTGACTTAAATTTGGAGAGAAGAATCGGACTTAAAATGGGTGGAAATGATGTCAGAACGAGCATCTTCTATGAAGTTTGACATTCTATTGCCTCAAAACCAAGCATTTTCTTTCCCTCCATCTGTCTCTCACTGAAGAGTTAATGCTGCGTCGTCTTCTCTAAAAACCAAATCCCCATAAAAACAGAAATAAACGCCCCCCTCCTTATTCATCCTAGTCTTGGGACTGGGTTTTGTGCAACACCCTCCTGTCCCCTTTCTCCCTGCCTGAGCCTGTGACAGATGGTCCTGCCAAAAATAAGACGTCCTCCTTCACCCCCTGCTGAGAAGTTGATAGAATTGACCCCAGCAACATCACACAACCTCAAACTCTAACGCTGGTAAAATGGTTTGTTTTGAGTGGGCGCTACCAGGGAAGAAAAATAGCAGAGAGCCACTTCTAGCACACAAGTTAAGCGAGCAGAATCAGGCCTTTCTTCTCTGGCAGAAAATGCTGACTCAAAGCCTGCCAGGAGTCACTGGACAAACAATGCCAGGGTCTAGGCCACAAAGTGTAATAGGGTCACTGGGCATGGCTGAGTCAGGGCAGGGTAGAAAGTGCCACACACGGGTCCTCCGATGGTGAACGCGCTTAGGTGGCGCTGTACTCAACAGCAGTGCATGGCCAAGGCGATTTCACCAACAAAGAAGAGGGGAGTTATCGGAGGTGATGGCTACAATAGGGCAAAGACAGACTGTACATAGACAAAACGTCCCCACCCTTTCTTAATGAAAGCTTAAAAATGATCATACACACCCAGCTAGGAGTCAAAATACACTCTTAAGCAAAGGTCTGTAATATCTTGAGTTTTACACACCCGTCCCTGTGGGGGCTGCCTTCATCAGCTGCATTACAGTGTGAACATTTTCCTATTTCACACATGGCCTTTCTGGGAAAGAAAATAAAAGACATAAGAGGAAGGAATAAAAGAAAAGAAGGGGAAATAGGATGATGATGCAGAAAGGCTCTTTGTGACTAGAATAAATGCCTGAAAAAGAAAACCCTGAAGTAACTAGAAGATACCATTTCCCTAAGCTTTGCTAAATCGGGGCATTTAGCAAAGGTGTCAGTTATGCCTGGTGCATTGTGCCAGCTGGACGCCATGGCAACGTTCTCGTCTTTTGTGTCCTGCAGATAATGTGACAAATTGCCTATTTAAATACTGACAAAAGAGTGTCTTCTCATATAGAGGTCCCCGATTAAGGGCTTCTCTTAAGTGAACCATTTTCCAGCAAGATATCCTGATGACTATGGGCAGGGATGACCCAGACCGATGAGTTTTCGGTGCTGCTGTGAGAGAGGCATTATGAGCCATGACCCCCACGCCCACGCCCACCCAGCCCCAGCATGATTTGCCCCCATGTTACTGAATCCACGGCAGAGCCAGTGCCAAAAGTGGAGGGGCCTCCCTGCTCTCCTTCACATCCTCTTCCCTGTGTCCCTGCTCCTCTATCAGTGTATGTGCCTGCCCCAGGTCACCACTGGCAGAGGCAGGGAACCTGGGGCCTCTGACTCCCAGCTACAGTTGAATTTCATGGTTTTCACTGAAGTGTTTTTTAATGGTTGGCTGAAATCTAGCAAATTGTTCACTGCGTTTTCTAACAGTGATCAACACTTGAAGATTCTTTCGTACACCGCTGTCTTCCTTGGAATGGTGTGTGTAGGGTCCCTTGAAAATGGAAGAGTAGAAACCATTTTGAGTATTTATCACTCCTCCGGCATAAAGGAAAAGGTACTAAGAGACCCAGATTTGTGTTTGAGGGAATAATTGCCTTTGAGGCAGAGTATTCGAGTACCATCTGGTATGATGCGATGTAATAACCTCCCCATTGCGAGAAGGGCTTGAGAAGAGCCAATCGGGTGGTGTAGAGAGGCTTTTCGGGTTGGGTGAGAGGTTGATCTAAATGACCTCTAAGGTACCATCTAATCCAGAATTCTACGATTCTCTTGGGATGGTTAAATTGAATCCTATGGTGCTGGCAGGAAGTGAGGGTGGGGGCAGTCCAGATTTGGTTTTAAATCTGGAGAGAGGACAATGGCAATGCCAGAAGGATGACAACTGCAGAATGAGGGTTGGTCAAGTTGATGGGACATAGAGTGGGGTGAATGGGCAGTGACTTAGCCGGAGCCTATAAGAAGGGCATGGGACTGGCAAGGTAATTAGAAAAGGCAATGGATCCTAAGCCCTCTTGGTTGTAGACACTGAGAGGAACTAAAGGTTTGCTTACACTAAAACATGCCTCTGGCTCTTCCCTGTTGCCTGAAATCTCTGCCATCTTGAGCAATATTTCTATTGAGTAATATCTCCAGGAGGCTGTTGTCAAAATGAGTAAGTGATCCCTGTGATAGAGTATCATGTTAGTTGATGCATATCTGGCAATTCCTTTGTACAATATTAGGCAATCACTTTCCCTCTCAGGGCCCCAAGGTGCTCATGAGTGCTAGTAGCTCTTTTACAGATTCCTTGAGATGTTTCTACATAAACAATCCTGTCATCTGCAAATAAAGACAATTTTAATTCATCCTTTCCTATCTGTATTCCTTTTATTTCTTTTTCCTTGCTTTTTTTGCACTGGCTAGGACCTCCAGTAGAGTGTGCAATAAAAGTGATGGGAGTAGATACCTTGTCTTGTTCCTGATCTTAGAGGATCCTGCTTTTAGTCTTGCACCATTAATGATGATGTTAGCTGTAGGTTTTTCATAGATGCCCTTTTTCAAATTGAGGAAGTTTCCTTCTACTCCTAGTTTGATGAGAAATTTCATTAAGAATGGGTGTTGAATTTAATCAAATGCCTTTTCTGCATCTATTGAGATGATCGTATGATTTTTTTCTTGCTTAAATTGTTAATTTGCTACATTACATTGACTGAATGGTTCAAGTTTTGGACTCTATTCTGGCATGCACTTAAACTACTTGCAGATCAGTTTAATCCCTTAGCTTTTTTTAAGCCTTGTTACGATGGATCCACAGCAGACTTGACTCTTGGGCTAATTTAGCCCCACGGCTAAGACAAGACTTTTCCAAGGACTCTACCCAGTATCCCATCATTTTCTCAGATCTCTCTGCCTGGACTGGTGTCCTGGAATGAGAACTTTCCCTGTGCAAGCTCTGAGAGTTGTGTAGTAAACTGCTTTCTGTTCATTCTTTTCCCTGCCTTGTAGAGTTTCACCCAGTACAGGTCATTCTTTGGCCAAAAACTCAAGGAAACCCCCCTGAAGTTCTCCAGAGCTCTTTCTACACAACCATCTCCTCTCTCACATTCTGTCTCCCAAATTCTGGCTACCTCCATCTCCCCAAACTCTGGTTTTTTTCTCCTCACCTCAGCAAAATTGCCAGGCTCTGTTGGGTTCTCCTTCCCTGTACTGCTGTCCCACCCCGTTAGTCCCACCCCGTCCCACTCGGCTCCACCCACCTGGCGCGCCCGGATTACTAAACCCTAGCCGCCAGGGTGCGCGACGCGTTCCCAAGCCCCGCCTCCGGGGCGAGGGCTCGCTCCCCCTCCAAGCTCTGCCTAAGCAGTTCCGTTAGCAGCGGGAGGAAAAACCGTCCTTCGGATCCCCGCCTCTCCAGTCCCAACTACCTGCCAGCAGTAAGCTGGGGCAATCATATTATGAGCCTAGTTTGCTTCCTTTCTCCCAGGGATCAGAATCCTGTGCTGCTCATAGTCCAGTGCTGAGATGGGTCATTGCATAGATGTTGACTATTTCTAGCTGTGTGTGACAGGACTGCAATTCCTGTAGTGATGGCTCCCCATGAGCAAAGGCAGAAATCTTACCCACCGCGATTTGTTCACACTATCACCATCCTTCTTAATGCCTCTCCTAAATCAACTTGACCTGTTTTGCTATTTTGATTAAAAGCATTTTGCCTTGGAGTGTCACACAGCAGGGCATTGGCGATGGAATCAGAAGATGTTTTCTGCTTGCTCACTTAGCAGCATCAGTTATAACCACTGTAGGCCTTAGTTCCAACTTCTAGAAAATAAGGATAACCGCCCAGCCTCCACTCCAATGTGATGCAAGGAAAAAACAAAACCAAATAATGCAGATGCCAACACCCCCCGTTACAGCACCAAGCCGACTCCTCTGAGTGCTCCATCCATCCTGCGTGGGGGTGGGGCCAGACTTCTCTCAGGCCTTACCTTCTTTCTGTTTTTCCTGTGACTGTCCCTCTTGTGGTTTACTCCTTTCTCCAACCTGTTGTCCCAGCCAAATGTTTCTAAAAATATTCCAGCAGAGCAACCTGGAAATACTATTCCTTAAGGAATTTATGGCCACACTGCTATCCTAAAATGGTTATAAAGTGTTACGTATTTGGTTTTTGAAGCTGCTTCGCTTTAAAAGTTAAAAGTATGATATTACAAAGTAGTGTACCAGAATTTCTTGCACAATAGGCTAATAAATCGTTTTTTTCTCAGGGCTACCTGGAGCCACAGGAAATCCAGGGGAAAAGGGAGACCCTGGTGAACTGGGCTTGACTGGAAACGAAGGTCCTGCAGGACAGAAGGGTGAAAAGGGGGACAAAGGGGACGTGTCCAACGATGTGCTCCCCGCAGGTAAGAGGCTGGTGCTCTGGCCTCTCCCAGGGTGAATGGGCCCAGAGACCTGCCTGGATCTTCGCACAAGGGCTGCTCTGGGTCTTCTCTCCTCATTTGCCTTATGTGTCCATATGTTTTACAGCATGTTCTAGAGATCCGTGCTTTCGAAAAGGAGAAAACTGTGCATGTTACCCCAGTGTTGGCAAGACCAGATCTGGGATCCAAGCAGAAGTAGTTTAGATAATTCAGGTCTAAACGTCATGGTTGGATTGAATTAGGATGAAGGCAGCTTCCTTTTTCCAAATAGCTATTCAATCCAGCACAATCTAGAACAAGACAAGTAAGCAAGCAATTTAAGATACCTCAGAGCGGGGCTGGCCCCGTGGCCTAGTGGTTAAGTTCAGAGTGCTCCACTTCGGTGGCCCAGGTTCAGTTCCCGGGCGTGGACCTACACCACTCATCGGCAGCCGTGCTCTGGTGGTGACCCACATACAAAATAGAGGAAGATTGGCACAGATGTTAGCTCAGGGTGAATCATCCTCCGCAAAAAAAAAAAAAGATACCTTAGAGGACAACTGAGAGAAAGCACAGCCATTTTCTTCACAGTCAAGGTAGGGCCACACTCAGGCCCTTATCCTAAGCCTTTTGACATAAAGAATTGGGGCAAACATGGTTGCTGAACTTAGTGTCTTGGGCGGAGGAGGTGGCTGCACAGTGAACCACAGAAAGACAATCACATGGTGGAAAGACACAATAGGTGACATCTGATGGTCATGGAGGAGGATGAGGTAGAAGAATTTTAAAAGCACAGTACTTGGGAGAACACTTATACCATAAAAACATAACTATCCTATTAATGTATTCAATAAACATTTATTGAATATCGGGGAGCACCATTTATGAATTAGGGACTTTGCTAATAGCTGAGAATATGAATATGAAAATGAGTAAGACATGACATCTGTCCTCAAGAAGCTAAGATGGTAGACGGTCTGATTAAGGACCCCAAATCGACTCAGTAAATCAAAATTTACTGAGCACTGCTATTTGCCAGCCACTGTGCTAAGACCAAAGCATCAAGGAAAGATCAAATTATGTTTAGCATGCTTCATTTCGTAAACAGGGGAGGTTGCTATGCAAGATACATAAGATGAAAGTAGTGTTTAGACAGGGTAATACATGTGAATATACTTTGAAAATTTTTAAGATCATGTTACACTCCTGTTATATGGGAAATCTATACATCCAGAATACTGCATTCCTCTATACTGCTCAACAAGCAAGAGGTGATGACAGACCGTTCAGAAAAGCAACATCCCTTGGGGGTCAGCCTGGTGGCGTAGCAGTTAAGTTCGCACACTCCACTTTGGCAGCCCGGGGTTCATGGTTTTGGATCCCGGGCACGGACCTATGCACCACTTGTCAAGCCATGCTGTGGCAGTGTCCCACATATAAAGTAGGGGAAGGTGGGCACGGATATTAGCCCAGGGCCAATCTTCCTCAGCAAAAAAAAAAAAAAAAAAGAGAGAGAGAGAGAAAAGCAACATCCCTGAGTGCACTCCAGTTCAGGAGATCAGGCCAGAGCTGAATGTGTCCTTTGTCAGACAGCAGAGAAGGCAAAGGAGTGTTGGATCATGTCTGCCCTGCCTACAGATCTCTGCCTCTTCCAGAGTGGGCATAGACTCACCTCTAGCCTCTGTGTCCCCTGCTTGTCCACTCTAGAGAGACTGAAACTGTTTATTTGTTCTAACTGGGAAAAGGCAGCTAAAGAGACCTTAGATCACCAGTCTCAGCCCTGGACTGGAGAGTAGAACCAAAGGGCTGAAGAGCCTAGCCTGGTGGCATCTTTATGAAAGCTCCAGAAACAATGGCCCCTGCAAAGGGCTGCACCCACATTGGCCACCTGAAGTTAGAGGAATGGCTACCCACAGGTGTGTAGGGATTCCAGCTGTCGGCATGCTCACCCCGGTGACTCAGAGGATTCTCACAGGGCAGGGCAGGGAGTATGAGACTGGCTTTGGAGATGAAGCAACAGGTTCAGAAGGGTTAAGCTGCCTGCTCCAGGTCACAAAGCTGGTCAGGAGCTCCTGATTTCTTCTACCACACAGAGCAGCGCTTCTCATACCTGGCTGCATATTAGGAGGCTTTAGAAAAATACAATGACCCACTTCCCCACCATGCTGATCTAGTTGGTCTGGGATGGGGCCCAGGCACTAGAATTGTAATAAACCTCCTTAGGGGATTCTCATAAGCAGTCGGGGCTGAGATCCTCCAACATTGGCCAATGAAGAAAGGGTGAGCTTTGGAGTGAGACACCCCTGAGGTTGAGTTCCAACCCTATTCAGGTTGTGACCTTGGGCAAAGCACTGAACTTCCCTAAGACTCAGGCCACTGAGGCTGCTACTACCTCACAGAGTGGTTGGGAAGAACGACTGGGAGGAGATTCTTAAAATTCTTAGCGCAGTTCCTGGCACATAGTTGGAACTCAACACCTACTATGGCTGCTTCCTTGCGTGGACAAGTGCTGGAGCACAGTGAGCTCTGGGAGGGGGCGCCCAGCAAGCCTCCCTGGGGCTGCTCATTCTCCTTTTCCCCGTGTGACACCCAGTCTCTGATCATGGCTGCTTAATCAAGCTCTTCCCCCACCCTTCTTTCTCTCTCTCTCTCTCCAGGTGCCAAAGGTGACCAAGGCCCACCTGGCCCACCCGGCCCATCTGGGCCCCCGGGCCCTCCAGGTCCCCCAGGACCCCCTGGAAGCAGAAGATCCAAAGGCCCTCGGCAGCCAAACATCTTCAATGGCCAGTGCCCAGGTCACCAACCCCTGCCTCAGGGAAACCGCCTCTTTTGCTAATAATTCCAAACTCTAGGACTTCACCCAAGCTTTATGATCAGATTTTTTAAACAGAGGGAAGAGGTTTTGTCCAAAGGGCGAGTTCCCACTTGCAACATGTTCACAGGAGGCCTGAGCAGGCTGCCCCGGGGATGAGGACTGGAGGCAGGTTCCCTCCCCCTTCCCTCAACTCTCTCATTTATCACCCGACGATTCCTCTTCTTTGCCAAATCCACCATCCCTCTCCCCTAAAATAGTCTCAAGGGCTAAGCTGTTCACTTTTGGAGTGTGAGGGCTTGACTGATGCTCGAGGAGACGATGGGGAAGTTCAGATTGGTTAACTCCGCACAAATACTACAGTACTACCATCACCACCACTAAGTTTGAGTGCTAACAACATGCCAGGCACAGTGCTAAGTGCTTAATTCATTTAATTCTCACAACAATCCTATGATACAGGAATCGTTATTGTCACCAATTTACAGATACAAAACTAAACCCCAAGTTGCTAAGTAGCTTGCCCAAGGTCACTCAGTTAATAAGTGACAGAGCTGGGATTCAAACCCAGATGTCCAGATGTGCTTGACCGTAAAGGCCCTGCTCTTAGAGCATCTTCCTTTTGGAGGTGGAAATTCACACTTGAGACTAAGCCAACCGAGCGCGAGGAACACCTGATCTCTGGCAGGCCAAGAGGGCTTGTTCTTGGCCAGTTTGTGACAGGGGTGGCCGCAGGATTGAAAGCTAATCAGAAATCAAGAGCCATATTAATGGAAAAAACTACAGTAAGGCTGGAACTTCTTCCCAAAAGGAGTGGACCCACTCACCTACTTGGGCCACGAAGAGGTACAACTTGATGCCGTGGCTGCAGTGGCAACAGAGAGGAGGGGCCTGACTGGAGTTTCACTCACACTTGCTGTGGATTCTCTGCCACCTTCCCAAACAGACTTTAGTTCTGGCTGGTGCTCTGTTCTTTCTGGAGGACATTTGAGGGGCACACAGCTTTCAGAGTGGGCAAATCTGTACTTTCAAAGATGTCACCCCGCCCCATAAAGGAGCCCGATTATAATTCTGCCCAGCGGTTAGCACCGATGCTAAGTCACAGCAGAGTGGCTCCCTCGATGGCGATCAGCGCCGCCCCCTCCATTAGCATCAGCCCTTTGCTCCGCTTCCTTGGAGAGCGAGCTGAGCGGGAACCCTCACCTGAGAAGAGGGGAGAGCTGACCCTAGCTTTTGCAGAATTCTAGCTTGCCAGAGGATCTGTCAGCCAGTGACAGTGTGCGCCTGGAGAAGCCCTCTCCTCCGCCTCGCCTATCCACCAAGAGGCTGGTCAGCACGGCTTGGGCCCCAGAGCTGTGAAAACTGCTCTAAACAAGATGCCATTATCTTCCAGTCTGCCTCGCTTGCCAGGCATCCTGCATCTGAACTTGGCCCTCTCTCCTGCTCCAATTCCATTTCTTTAACCCTCTCCCACCCCCATAGCTTTAGAAGCAGGTGGGTGCAACAGGAATTAAAGAGAGTGAGAGCCTTTCTTCAGACTAAGAACAGGAGGGTCTCTCTGTCCCTTTCTTTGCAAAGCCCAAGTTCCTAAGGGGAAACTCCATATGAAACTCAGAGGTAGCAAGATTGCTTGTGAGGGAATCAAAACAGGTCCCTGAGACGGCTCTCATGGGTGACAGAAGGACTTCAGAGAAACACAGGTTCACCCAGCTAGAAAGAAGCTTAGCGATCATGAAGCGTCCCACCCCCTTATTTCACTGATAAAGAAACCTCTCCAGATTGTTCTGTGAGCTTCCTTAGTGACAAGCGAGGTGCTCCTTTCTATCTAGCAACCACAGGGTGATTCAAACCCCTCAGAATTTGTCTAGGCAAGTGGGCCTGGCCTGGCCTTTGCAGAAAGCTCGATTTGCCCCAAACTGCCCCAGACCAGGGTCCTTACCCCAGCCATCCACTCCTTCTCATCTTCACACTGCCATGTTCCTTCCCTCCTCCTGTCCTCTTGCTGCCACCCTGAGCCACCTCTTCACCAAAGGTCTGAATTAAGCCCATTTGTTAAGGGGAACAATGACAAGCTGAGGAGGATGAATTCCAGCTCAGGTGTAGCCTCAAACAACGGTGGATCAGGCGCCCTGTGTCCCATAGGCCTTCAAGCAGAGACAGGTGGGAAACGGTGGCGGGGAGCCCAACGTCTCGGGCCAGGCTGCCTCCAGGCTCCCTCTTCCTCGGTGATTCCTCCTCTGGCAGCCCAGGAAGACAGGGTAAAGTGAGCTGTCCCATCACGAGGCTGCTCCCTCACTCCTCCCCATCAGCTTCCCTGGAAGTGAAAATCCTTCCTGAAAAATGCAGCTGTGGTAGTGATACCGCCTGCCCCGAGACGCCAAGAAGGTGTCAGGAAGCCTCTCTTTCCCTCAGATTGCCAAGGGCTTGGAACGGACTGGCTCAGACCATCTTTTCCCTCGTACTGACATCCTCTTTGGATTGTATTATGTGAGCAACTGTGGTCATGGAAAGCTTATTGGGAGCTCACCAAGCAGGGGAAGAAATTTGAAGTGAATGAGTTGATGTTGCTTAAAAGCAAGCCACCAAAAACTTTGGTGGGCCTATTATAAGGGATGCTTATGGGACTAGAGTCTGGAACAAGGTGGGGGACCACCACTTGTCGAGTTATACAAATCCCGCTGTGCCAACTACACTTGCTCTGATTATTGCTGTTGTTTCAGGGGAGACATGTGCTATACCAAATGATGATACCTTGGTTGGAAAAGCTGACGAGCAAGTCAGTGAACACCATTCCCCACAAGCAGGTAGAGAAACCAAACATCCTATTTTGAAATTCAGAAATTGGATGTCTTAAAGTCATAACTGGCAGGCAGTAACTTTCTCCTCTTCTGGTAGAATCCATGATTGCTTCCATTGGAAATCCAACACAAGTATTAAAAGTGACAGAGACATTTGGGACTTGGATACGAGAGTCTGCTAACAAGAGTGATGAACGGATCTGGGTGACTGAACATTTCTCAGGTACTGTCACTTGGCAGGTGATCTATATCTGTGTTGTAATTGTATCTTTCATCTGTTGCCTACCTTCAGGCTTATTCTATTCTGTGTCTGAAATCCCTGCTAATTGGTGTAACAGAACTGCCCTTTATTTTAGGAAGCACAAATGAGTGGGCAGAGTGTGTTTGAGCACACTGATGACAAGCCTTGCAGTTCAGGTCACAGGGACATGACCAGGGCACCCCCAAGTAGCTTATCCAATTTTAGGCAAAGTATCCAGAAGGAAATAAATAGCATGATGACTGATGGCCTCATAAACCCCAAAACCATAGTGTGAAAGCAATGTCAGAGACAGTCTTTTGCACTGTCCATCTGTCTCTGAGGTTGGCACCCTCTTATCTTTCTCAGATATCTGTTAGACAGAGAGCCCAGGGGAGAAGGTGAAGTGCCATCTTGCAGGTACACTGCATCTGAGTATGCCCCTAGTCATTAGCAGTAGCCTTCTTCCAGAAGGGGTCTGGGCATACCCACTGGTCAGAGCAGTAACTGAGATATGCTTCTTCATCTCATCAAGGCTAACTGATCAGCTGGTGATGACTGCACAGACTACCAGCTGAGAAGGATTTTGTGGCTCAAAAGGAAAGAGGAATAATGTGAATTCATGGCTGCTGTGGGTGCAGGGGGAGGCAGGAGGTGTCTGAACAATTCCCATATATTTGCTATTCCTGGTATAGACCGATGTCAGCCTGGTAGAGAATTTTATGAACAATCTAGAGTGGTGTGGGGAGGGGGTGATACAGTTTTCCCAGGAGGAGCAAAGCAGACTCTGTGGCTACTACATTCAAAAGACAATTCAGGAATCCATAGAAGAGAACTGGACTTTGAATTTGGGAGTCTGAGTTTGAAGAACTGGACAAGGACCCTTACAGAACCTCACTCTCAACAGCCCTCCTTTACTTCCTCCCCCGACTCACTCCCAAGCTATGATTGCCAGTCCTGAGGGCAGGTAACAGCCTGTCCCTGGCTTCTCTCCTGCAGGCATCAGGGTGAAGGAGTTCAAAGACCAGCCCTCACTGCTGAACGGCAGTTACTCGCTTATCCAACTCCCGTATTTTTTCCATGGCTGTGGGCATGCCGTTTACAACAACTCTCTCTACTACCACAAAGGAGGCTCCAAAACCATAGTGAGGTGAGTCCCCCGGGGCCCCGCAGCACCTTCTCATGCATCCCAGACTGCATCTACTGTGTGACGCTTAGTTATCCATGAGCTGCTTAAGGGTAGGGACTGTGGTTCATCATCTTTATGTCCCCAGGGCCTGGCACGCAGTCAGAAGTCAGTCAGGGTTTGCTGACTGTATGAACCACAGGACACAACGAGTGAGCCCCATGGCCAGCCCCTGGGGGTCTGCATTTATTGCTGGTCTGGATGCCAAGGGTAAGGTCAGAGCCAGAGAGAAGTAGACCTGGAGTGCCAAGGGCTGCAGCTCTCTCATCCTTTGAGAAAGGAAGGAGCTGGAACCCAGAGCTTCCTCTAGCAGGTGTCACACCCTGAAATCGGTTTTGTTCTGAAAAACTTTGAGTGTGAAGAATTTCCCGTCACAGCTGAGATCATTGAAGACGAGCGACTGCAATGCAAAGTCAGGGGGCTCTGCCTTCAGATTAATCTGTCACCCTGATGGAGCCCCCGCCAGGCCACCTCTCCTCCCCTCTCTGTTTTCCCAAGGGGAAGGGAGGTGGTCACCTGTGTAGACTGTGCCCAGGGCAGCAGTCAAGTCTTCTTGGCTCCTCACAAGAATTGCTGAAGTTTTGTCTTCATAGCTCAAAAAGAAATCAAGTTCTGGCTTTAGAGGCAGAAGCAGGTCATCTTGGGCAAATCAAGAGAGCGGTGAACTCAGTCAGGTTCCAACTCTTCTGCCTACTCCCTCCATGGCCTTGGAGAAGAGACACCACATCCTGTGGTCTCCATGTCCTCAATAAAAATGAAAAGATGGACGAGAGACTCCGCAGCCCTCCAGCTGTACCCCTATCTGAAAAACAAGTCCAGTTGTATGAAAGCCATGATCCTAGTCATTCAAAACTGGAGACAAGGACCTGGAGGGAGGCCTGGGTCTCTTCTCTCTCTCCCTCACCCTCCTCCTCCCCTCAGTGAGGACAGCCTCAACAACCTTATTAGCACTGGAGTGCTGGGTTAGGATGGGGACAGCTTTCCTAGTATAACGTGCAATTAAACCAGCCACATGAGACACATATGGCGGCCATGGCTGGAAGTGTCCCCTCCTTTGCCTCTCCTCCCTCTCTATGGACTCCCCCATCATCTCACCATCTCCCCAGCCACCTCATTTGGGCAGAGCCTTGTGCTCATAGAAGAGGACAACTGTCCCCCCTCCTGTTCAGAAGTCATCCCTTCCCAGATACGCTCCTTCCTCTGACATTCCTCCTCATTAATCCTGTAGCTTCCTGCTGCCATTTACATAGGGCTGTTGTTACCTCAGGGTGGGGGTTTGGGGGAATTCTGGGGTGAATGAGCCCCAGAAGGAGACTCGAGGACAGCCCCAGATGGCCACTCTAAGAAAGAGTGTCTTCTAATGAAGCTAAGCTTGCGTGATGCACTGGTTAGGAGACCTGTGCTGAGGCCCTGCTCTATGCCAGGGCACATGCTGGGAGTGCAGGGAGAGGCAGGCTGGAATTAGACCCTTTCTTGCTGGGAGAGACAAGCCTCATCAAGGATGCAGCTGCTAGGTGCCAGTACCAGACAGGAACCAAACGGCAGGACTGAATCCCAGGCATTCAGAGGAAGGAGAACCCTGTGAGCTGAGATGGGCAGGCAGGGCCTTCCCAAGCCCTCACTCCTCGGGTTTCTTTTCAAACTTACCTCAGGGTTTCTTAATCGGCTTCAAGTTTGGCTATGCTCCAACGCGTATCCACCGACTCACACATTTCGCATTTCTTCTGCTGCTCAATGGCACCCTCTAGTGTCTTTCTTCTCTTTGAGCCTAATGTCCCTGAATTTTCATTCCTGGAGTTAGGTACCTTTGAATTGTAATCCACTTTTTGATACGGTCTAGATTGGAGTCTGCCAAATCAGACAGCCTCCAGGAGCTCAGAGGCATGGGGTTCCATACCGTAACTTAGTCTATCCAGTCACTTACCTGACGAGAAAATTGACTTCACAGCCATGACTTTGCTACATCTCTTATCAGCTCGTGACTTTCTTCTTCCTTTAGAATGCATGAAATGTTTGTCTTAAAACCTCAGTGTGAAGTAGAGGAAGAACCTCCAAACTTGAAGTTAGAAAACCTAAATTCAAACTCTGGCTCTGCTACTTACTCTTATTCCTGGGCCAGTCACTTCTTTTTTATTTGTAAAATGAAAGGACTGGGCTAGATCGTCTTTTAAGGCCCCTTGCAGCTCTAAGAATCTTTGAGAGGGCATTTCAGGAGGTCACCCAACACCTGAGGATTCGTGAGGTTGACAAATTTTCCTGGGTCACATGGCTAGGAAGACACTTAGATGTAGTCACCTTCCTTTACATCCTTGCTACTCAAAACATTGTGGGCAGACCAATAGAATGGGCATCACCTGGGAACTTACTAGAAATACAGAATCCCAGGCCCCACCCCAGATTAACAGAGGAGCCCAAAAAACCACCCTTGTTCACAAAAATGGTGACTCATATCTACTTTTTTTCACATTTCAGATTTGAATTTGGCAAAGAAACGTCCCAAACCCTGAAGCTTGAAGATGCCTTGTATTTTGATCGAAAATACCTCTTTGCAAATTCCAAGACCTACTTCAATTTAGCTGTAGATGAGAAGGGTCTTTGGATTATCTATGCTTCAAGTATAGATGGCTCGAGCATTCTTGTAGCACAACTGGACGAGAGGACATTCTCTGTGATGCAACACATCAATACCACGTACCCCAAATCCAAGGCTGGGAACGCCTTCATTGCCCGAGGGATTCTCTATGTCACAGACACCAAAGATATGAGGATAACCTTTGCCTTTGATTTATTAGGAGGGAAACAGATCAATGCAAACTTTGATTTAAGAACTTCCCAGTCTGTTCTTGCCATGTTATCATACAATATGAGAGACCAGCATTTGTATTCGTGGGAAGATGGCCATTTAATGCTTTATCCTGTGCAGTTTTTGTCAGCTACATAAAACCAGTGATGGAGTGCTTTCTTTTCCTTCCCCTCAGTAAGTTTCAGATGTTCTCCAGCACCGTTTATATCCCAACAGAAAACTTGTCTTTCAGGGTAGCCAGGTACTCAGCTGTCGTATCTCATGACATGAATGTTTATATGGTCAGTGAATCCCCTTTAAATTCAGATTCCTTAGGGGAAAAGAGCAACAGATTGGAAGTCAAAATGGCTGAGATTTGGTAATTCCTCCACAAACTAGCGGAGCAAGTTACCTCTTCCTCTTTGGGCCTTGTTTTCCCCGCTGGTGATATGGAAAGGCTGGCTGAGAGGATGGTAAGCTTTCTTCTCCCTGTAGGGAATTCTGTGATTCTTGGCTGTGGCTACTCCCACAACTTTTATGTTTATGGTTTTTAGCCACGTGCTGAACAAATTCACCTCTGAGTTGAGAAGCCTAATTGCTCAAGCAATGAATTCCTTAGTGCTGACTTATATTTGGTGCCTTAGGCCACTGAGGTACCATATTACCCATAATATATTACCTTTCTCTGCATCTGCGCCTGTACCCGCACCTGCTGCCACAGTGCCAGAAGAGCCGTTATCCTCAGCTCCTGACTGCTGCCAGAGATTAGCAAAATCCAGGAACAGCTACCTGCTCAAGTTTCCTAATGAAACAGAAACAGGCCCTTCCAGGTTCCTATTAATTTCTGATCATGCTGATATGCAGCTGTGGGTCATAAACATCGGATCCTCAGGTCACACTGGCTTCTTCTACCACAGCTATGGGTCAGAGTGCTAAATATTGTGTGAGTGGGCGTTAATCTGGAAGTTTTCAGAAAAGACTCACCATTTGTGGTTATTGTCTAGAACAGGGATGGGCAAATTATGGCCCTTGGTCCAAAGCCAGCCCATCACCAGTTTTTGTAAATAAAGTTTTATTGGAACACAGTCACATGCATTTGTTTATGTATTATAGTTTGTGCCTACTTTTGCTCAACAATGGCAGAGTTGAGTCATTGCAAGAAAGTTGAGCAGTGGCCCGCAAAGTCTAAAACAGTTACCCTCTGGCCCTTTTCAGCAAAAGTTTGCCGACCGCTGATCTAGAACATAAAGTGAGCTGGATTCTTGGAAGGGCTTATTCACCAGAACCTGCTTCTTATGTTTTGTTTTGTTCTAGACTAATAAGTGATCATTTAGATGGTTTGAGTTTTTGGTAAATGGGAAGGGTGATAGCATAAAATTAAGTGGCCCTCCCAAAAAGCAGTTAGTGAACTGTTCTTCCCCTAATATAGTGTGGAAGGACGTGCTCTGGTCCCCTTGGATGCCAGGAGAAAATCCAGTTTAACTTGCTCCTAAATGCCCTTAAATACATATATTTTTTGCCAACTCAGTTCTTCAAACATCTTCAGCCAGGCACTGAGGTCCAAGCAGGGCCCCTGAGAGGAGAAAAGAATCTGGAAATTTCTTGGGGTCCTGCAGCCAGGAAGGCGACCTAGGGGAAAATGTTATGGAAAGATTTTTCATCAATTCACCCTCATTGAATTCATGTGTGTGTTGAAGGGAAGCTTCTGAAACATTTTCACTGTGCCCAAATCCATTCTCAGTGGCCCTTAGTCTTGGTTTTATACCTTATTAATAGAAGCATTTTAAAACCTAGGGGATATAGAGATTTAAATATTTAAATCTCCCCACCCCCTGAAAATACCTAGGCAGCTATTACAGATTTTTTGTTTTTGTGTTCTCAAAATAATGAGTATTTGAAAGTTTTTCCCCACTTTTTAATGAGATTGGTTGTGTCATGTCATCACAGCTTTTGAAAAATACTCTTTTCAGATTCATGTTTTATAACAAAGTAAAATAGAGTTTCATGTTCAAGATCAACATGTCTAATGAACACTAGGCTTCTTTTAAAGTATTTTATGTGTTGCTGTTTCTGGACACAGGGGACCTGGATATGAATATAATTTCATAGTAATAGTCATATTAGTAATAGTAATATGTACAATACTAATTATATATATATATGGTAGCAACCAAAAGAGGTTAGTTATTGAATTAGCATGTATTCCTTTTAGAAAAAAGTTTTAGAAACCCCAGTCTTGAGAGCTGAGTTATCTTGGCTCCTTTAATTACAGGTAAGAAAGCATGAACTCAGTACTAGAGAAGCTCATACTGGGATTTTTTTTTTTTTTTTTTTTTTTTTTTTTGCTATGGCAGAATAATAAAAGGACAACCGAGTTTGACCAAGGCTTAATGGGTAATTTTATAATACGGTTGCAAGTTTGTCTTTACAGAGTGAAAATGATTAAGATTTTACTCATTCTTTCCTGCAAATAGGACTTTATTAAAAAAAATAGGTTTGGGCTCACTGCTAAAATAGAATGTTTTTAGTCGCGATATCACTTGAGCAGTTTACAGTCTCACTTAGAACCAAAGTTGCTTCAAAGCACTTTCCAAATATCTGCACTTCTGATGTCAGAATCAAAGCAGATAATTCTCTAATTCTTCTTTAATCTAAAGTAGATAGCTTCCCGCTGGAAAGTAAATAAAACCATCCCTCCCAACCTCAAAGGTGGGCTGGACCCTATTTCAAAGCATTTTCTTTCAGACTGATAATGTGTCCTGTTGCAGCTGTGCAGGTGGTTATGGTCTCAAAGTGTCACCAGGCACGGGTGTGATGACAGAGGACGAGTTCTGGGGTGAAAGTTTTAAAATGAGGAGTTCTGATCGTAGGCACCCTCCCAGTCTCATGACCTTCAAGGTGCAGGGTGAAAAGTCAGATGAGACACCATGAGTCTTCAAGAGCCAGGGGTCCTTTCCACCTGCATAGAGTATGCCTGGGCTATGACTACTCAAGGTCCAGCCATCTGAAGGAGAAGGGCATGATTGAGCTTTTCAGTTTTCATCCAGCTGCTGGGACCTGGTGTATCACATCATTAAAAACCATCATTTCGGGCCGGCCCCGTGGCTTGGTGGTTAAGTGAGCGCGCTCCACTGCTGGAGACCCGGGTTCGGATCCCGGGCTCGCACCGACGCGCTGCTTCTCCGGCCACGCTGAGGCCGCGTCCCACATACAGCAACTGGAAGGATGTGCAGCTACGACACACAACTATCTACTGGGGCTTTGGGGGGAAAAAATAAATAAATAAAATCTTTAAAAAAAAAAAAAAAAACCATCATTTCCAATCTGTAACCACAGATTCTGAACAATTCTGAACTACAGATGAATAATGGTGAATGTCTCTTTTTTGGTTGTAATTTATTTAACTTTAATCTAATTAGTCAATAAAATAATCGTTGCTGAACACAATCACATATTGAAGCAAGTGTATTGTTATTTTTACCTCTTGTTAATTTACATGTAACATCTAAAAGAAAAAAAAACAACTGAGAACAATATTGTGGTAGAATTATACTGGTTGCTCCTCTGTTGAAACTTTCACAATTTGCTCGTGCCTTCTGAATACTGAAAAATCATTGGTGTGGATCATGTTTTCTCTATAGGAAATCATGAAAAATGTAAAACTAGTACATAGAATTAGATATACACAACATAAGTGTAGTGAAGATCTGCAAATGTATTGGCATAGGCAAGGTAACTGAAAAGGACATAACATTTTGGACTAAAAACAAAAAAGAAGAATTTTTTTTTTTTTTTTTTTGGTTTGGTGAGGAAGATTAGCCCTGAGCTAACACTTGTTGCCAGTCTTCCTCTTTTTGATTGAGGAAGAGTCGCCCTGAGCTAACATCTGTGCCCATCTTCCTCTATTTTGTATGTGGGATGCCACCACAGCATGGCTTGATGAGTGGTACGGGTCCACGCCCAGGATCTGAACACACGAACCCAAGCTGCTGAAGCTGAGTGCGCTGAACTTAACCACTATACCACCGAGCCAGCCCAAAAAAGAACAAATTTTAAAAACTAGATTTGTGAGAATTTGGGCAAGTATCTTCTTCATCCCTCAGAGCCTCTGTTTCATCTGTAAAATGTGGATAATAGGATTACTGACTTCCTTTGACTTTTCTATATTAAACGAGAAATGCTCTGGAAATGGTATGATTCTTGATACATTATTGCTGTTACCTTTATAGTTCATCCCTTCAGGGAACTAGAGTGACCCTGTTGTTCTGATAGCCTTTAGGGACACAGCGTCAACAGTTTCTGTCTGCTGGTCTGTCTAATTAGGTAGGTAACACTTCACACTACCAAAAAACGGTCCCTTAGTTATACCACACATTTACAATAAAACTGCCCCCAATAATGAAAATAATGAGAAATAGTTCAAGAACCTGTTGCCTTGCCCAATACAGCTTCTTTATAAACTTCCCTAGAAGTGTCTCTGTTACTGGGCGGCCCAGGCATGTACTGCTGATGACTTCTGTAATTAAAATATTACAAAGCAAAAAGAAAAGTCCATGAAGAAAAAAGTCGTCTTGCCCTTTAACTGGATCATTCAGACATTGGCATGTGATTTTAAGATATCTAATCTTATAGCCATTCACTGTAAGATTTAAAATAAGAATAAACAATCTATCTCACTACTTTTCCCTCCAAGCAATCTGCTATAATCAGCCTCAAAAACTGAGCTAGTTAAGAAGTGGTGGTTAAACTACTTCTAAAAATCTAACAAACTAATTCTAAAATTGCCAGATTCTTGTGTCTAGCAATCTGGCATTGTCAGTGTCCCAAACTCATTTGCCAAAGGGCCACATACACGATCACAGGATTATAAAACACTAGATGGGACCTTTACAGACCACCCAGTCCAACTCTCTCATTTTAAAGTCTAGGAGGGCCGGCCCCGTGGCTTAGCGGTGAAGTGCGCGCGCTCCACTGCTGGCGGACCGGGTTCAGATCCCGGGCGCGCACCGACGCACTGCTTCTCTGGTCATGCCGAGGCCGCGTCCCACATACAGCAACTAGAAGGACGTGCAGCTATGACATACAACTATCTACTGGGGCTTTGGGGGAAAAAAATAAAAATAAATAAAAGTTAAAGTCTAGGAAAGTGAGGCCGGAGAAGATAACTCACCCAACATCACAGCTTAAGTGCCTGAGTCAAGAGGAGACACTGTTTCCTGACTTTATGATCATGTTTTCCACCTCACTCTGTCACTTCCAAAGGAAGGATCTGGTCTTTATAATTGGAAAATGAAAATAATTAACTTTGGACATTTTTTTAAAAAGGCATTCCTTTTTATAAAACTTTATCTAGAGGAATATGCCAAACTCAGCTTAGTCAGGCAGAGAATTCTCCCCAGCAAAGAAGTTCTCAACCCAGTGATGGCAGTCATCACCTTCTGGGCAGTGGATACACATGCCAAAGTCCAGCACCACTTGTTACTCTAAAAACTACCACCACCACTGGACAACTCTTACTGGCCCAAAGTTTTGAAGACATCAAAGTAGCTGCTACTTGGCGCTTACCGTCTATTTGTCATAGTCTCTTCAAGGCAATTTGTACACGTTATTTCTCTTAATCACAGATGCTCAAGTGGAAAAGTCCTTAAATATCATCTATTCTCTCTGGTCAATGTTTTCATCCTCTCTATAAATGTAGTGGACACTGTGATGCACTCACTACTTGGATTCCACTTCAGGAAAGACTTTTTGCTCCTGGTGCTGGGAGTGCTGTCAGCAAATAGCCTTCAGCTGTCAGCCCCTTCAGGCCTTGCCTCGACTGCAGAGACCCGCTTCACCCAGGACACACTCGCTCATCCAACAACTGATCAATGCATGAGTATATAGGCGTGGACAGCTCAGCCCAACTTGGTACATTCTAGTGCCACAGCTCCCCACAGTTCAGCCAATTCTGTCACCAGGCCTGCATTACAGACTGACTTTTCTTTCTGCCCTTGCTGCCTCTTTCTCCTTCCTTCCAAGGGCAATTTTAATGACATCCTGCTGGCTGAACTCCATCTCAGAGTCTGCTTCCTGCAGAACCCAACCTATTGTAGAGTTGCCAGATAAAATACAGGATGCCCAGCTAAATTTCAGTGTCAAATAAAGAACAACAACAACATTTTTTAGTATAAGTGTATCCCAGATATGGCATTGGATATACTTATATTAAAAAAATCATTTCGGACCAGCCTGGTGGCGTGGTGGTTATGTTCGTGCTCTCCGCTTTGGCGGCCTGGGGTTCAATGGGTCGGATCCCAGGTGGGGACCTACACACTACCCATCAAGCCATGCTGTGGAGGCGTCCCACATACAAAATAGAGGAAGATGGGCACAGATGTTAGCTCAGGGCCAATCTTCCTCACCAAAAAAAAAAATTATTTGTTTATCTGAAATTCAAATTTAACTGGGAGTCCTGTATTTATATTTGATAAATCTGGCAAAGCTAACCAGATGTGGTCCAAGAAGGAAGCCACTGAGATGGGGTTTTGGAGCTGGATCATTCACCACCCTGTTTGCAATGAGGACCCCACCACTGGTAATAGATTGAGCATCAATAGCCAGTGGGACAACAAGGTGGTCCAATTGTTAATACTTTCATTGGTGGTAAACTGGAATGGAATACTATTGGAAAGGAATACATTAGCTAATGTTATGTATCAGATGTTTGAGAATTACAGATAAATGGGGGCTAAACAGATAATGAAATCAGGTGGCTATCACTCAGCTTGAATGCCCCTCCGAAAAAAGATAAGAAAAAGCTGAGAGCAATTAATTGACAACTGAAGGCAGAAAAGACCTTATTAACTCCCCTTGAACCTACATTGACCAATATTAACATATGCACTCCAGCTTTCTTTTGGTTCATACGAGCATGATATATTTTTTTCATCCTTTTACTTTTAATCTATGGGTATCATATTAAAGTATTTGTAGACAGCATGTATTTGGGTCTTGCTTTTTTCCCCAATCTGACTATTTCTGCCTTTTAATTGAACTGTGTAAAAAATATAACCTAATTTTATGCTGTCTTACTATTTCTGCCTTTTAATTGAGATATTTAAATCAGAGACTAGTAAACTATGGCCTGGTGGGCTGCCTGTTTTTGTAAATAATGTTTTATTGGAATGAGACCAC